GCATGCAAGGCAAGCGCTCTACCACTGAGCCACCTTCCCAGCCCTCATAATTCCATTTAATAAGAAGGATTATTCCTCTTTATTAAAGCTGTATGAGAACTATTACCATAGTGTTCTATGTTTATGAAAGAAGAAAACACATTAGGATATGAACAGCCCCAAATCAGTTTTCTACATATGATTCATTTAATTACTGAAATGAAAAGACCCAAACCATATAACCACAGTCAGCTAATGAGATAAACAGAAGAAATTCCAGTTGATTGAATGTACAAAATTAATGACTAGCAGTACTACTCAGAGCTATGAATTTGTTCATAGTTTGCTCAGTTGAGAATCTAAGGCAAGAAGAAACATCACTAATATAGACCAGGTAGATGGAAACCTGGTCCAGTAAAAGGATCTTAGACAAAACTAAAGAAAACAGAAAAAAAATATGAACATTAATAACAATGAGTCAATATAGCTGAGTTAATTGTGATAAATGTATATGCTAATGATAATGATGAGGAGAGTAGGATACATACACACTTATCTTCCTACACTATCTCCAACATTTCCAATCCTGCCATTGTTAAAACTAGCTATAAACCACTCACCCCTTTAAACTAAATTAATCTATGAAACATTCAGAACAGTGAGAAGAAAAGTAACTTGTAGAAAGTATCAAACTCTCTGATTTCCCATTGATGGAGAAGAAAAAAAACAAGAGGTAGTTTATGTTTACTTAGAAACATATCATCTCAGTGTATTCACCTATTGTAGGAATTAAGACATGTCTCAGGCAGCAAGACACAGGCAGACAATTACATGAAAATTAAAAATGATATACTACAGTAGAAATCCTGCATAAACTGTAGAAAAAAGATGCAGAAATAAAACATAGAAGGAAGAAGCAGGTTAGGAAGAGGCAAAGAGAATAAGTAATGTGAACAGAGAGGAAGGCACATCCAATGGTACCATCAGTTTGTGATTCTCTTGAAGGTTCTCTTCACTGCAAGTTTGACATCCTTGTTCCTGAGGCTATAAATGAGAGGATTCAACATGGGCACCACAAGCGTGTAAACCACGGAGAAAAATTTCCCTTGCCCTACAGCCCCAGAAGACGATGGTTTTATATGTGTGAGTAGACCAGACCCATAGAATAGCCCAACAGTGATTATGTGAGAACCACAGGTGCTCATGGCTTTGGCCCAGCCCTTAGCTGATGACATATGGATAACATTAAAAAGAATCAAACCATAGGACATTAAGATAACTAGGCTGCATAATATGGCTGATATACCCACACAAATAGAACTCACAAGATCGTTGGAAGAAGTGCTGCTGCAGGAGAGCTGGAGGAGAGGAAAGATGTCACACATGTAGTGATTGATGACATTGGAATCACAAAAGCTGAGCCTGATCATGTACCCGGTATGGATGATGGCACCAGCTAACCCCATCAGGTATGAACCCAACATCAGCAGAGAACAAGTCCTAGGGGACATGAGGACAGTGTACAGCAGGGGCTGACAGACGGCCACATAGCGATCACAGGCCATGGCTGCCAGCACATAGCACTCAGAATAGACAAAAAAAAACAGAAAAAATATAGCTGGATCATGCATCCTGTGTAGGATATGGTGTTCCTCTTGGATACAAAGCCCATTAGCAGTTTAGGAGTAATGACAAATGAATAACAGAAATCAATGAATGATAGATTAAAGAGAAAGAAGTACATGGGGGTGTGGAGGTGTGAATTCAGGCAAATTAGACTCATTAAACTCAAGTTTCCCATCACAGTGATAATATAGTTCACCAGGAACAGGAAAAAGAGAGGCAGATGGAGCTCAGGTTGGCTTGTCAATCCCATAAGAATAAACTCTATCACCGATGAATCATTTTTCATGATCATTTGCTTGATGGATGGGACCTGTAGGAACAAAGGTAGAAGATGACATTGACAAAGGACCCTCACTCTTTGACCCAGAGCAAGAAGTGGGGCCACCAGTATACAACTCAGGGTTATATTGAGACACTTGGTAAAGACCATTACCTACCATAGTGGAACCTGAGATATTTTCATTACTTCTTTCTTCCATCCATGCTGTGTAACGTCACTCAATAGGATTCTTACAGAACTGTCAGCGTCTCTGAATATCATTTCAATCCCTTCACCTCAGTCTTCATTAAAGCTTTGAATAGAGATGAGCAATGAACAGGGAGGGCATTCTCCAGAACCAATGGTTTATACAGATTGGGGTTTGAAGGGAAATTATCAAGAGGAAGATGATTCTATCCCTAGACACTTTCACAGCTCCTGGACCTCAGGAGTCCTTCCTGCTTATTGTTCTGTGAATGCCATGTTCCTAACGAAGTAGTTAATAGTCATTACTGGAAAACTACTGTTGATCTACTAGAACGACATTGCAGAATTTGGCATCTTTTCTGTTGATTTTTTTTCTAAATAAAGTGAAGTGTCTGTTCACTTACAAAAAGAAAAACAACAATCTCATAGCAGCCTTCAAAATATTATGTCACTCAAATGGGGATCTACATTTCTGGAGAAATTAATTGGAACAACAGAAAATTATTCTCTGTTTATGATTTCTTCCCAGGTTGCCTAAGTCCCTGAGGGGTAGCGATTGCTGAGCCTATGTTTACACCCTGTGACGTCGACTTAGCATTCACTCTTTTGAGACTCAAAGTTATGCCCAACTTACAGCTTCTCACTAGGTAAAACTAGTCTCCAAAGCAGAATTACTGGTGATCCTCTTTGTCCTCATTATATCTTGTAGGTCTTTATAAGAAGAAGGAAGTCCAATGTCCATAGTTACATACCATTTCTAGAAAATTCCTAAAGCTTCTGGGTATTAATCTATAAATGTTAGAATTTAGGTTAACAGGCTACAAAAAGATGCTATAGCAAAAGAGTCGAGAGACAAAGAGTAGCTTCTGAATGATTTGAGTCATTCAGCATTTAAGCCGAGGCTTTTCAACTTCCTAGCTACGAGTCTGAGTACTAGTGATATGACTTCTCTGACCCTGGTTTATTTATGTGTATACTTTCTATGCACATGTTCCTGTATATGTCTATAAAACAAGGTTCATAACAAGGTTTGGGTTGGTGGTCAGTGACAGAGTTCTTACCTACTATTTTCAAAGCCTTGGGTTTGGGTTGGTGGTCAGTGACAGAGTTCTTACCTACTATTTTCAAAGCCTTGGGTTTAAACTGCCAAGATAAAATGAAACAAAATATTAGAATAAATAAAAGTTCTATTTTGTTTTGTCAATATGATAATTAGATGAGATAATTAACCTATTGGTAATTAAGTCCAGCATATAAAAAGTGTCTGGTATGTGTTAATTCCCTTCTCATGTGCAATTACTTAGTCATTTAAATCAGTCTCTTGGCTTTGGCATTATTGATATTTGTGTAATTTTTGTTGTGGCCCTATCCTGTGTGTTAGGTAAAGCACAGCATTCCCAGCTCTTGCCTATTAGATGCCAGTACTGTTCCACCAACACACACACACACACACACACACACATGAAATGTGACCAACAAAATTTTCCCTATGTCCCTTGGGAAGTATTGGGGCTCAAAATAATATTTAAACGTATAGTGCATTGAATCATTGAGTTAATACTTTCAACGCAAGCTCACAGAAAGAAAATTTAGAATGAAGTTTCTTTCTGACCTCACACTTTTCCTTATCATGCTTTGCTTTTAGCACTAGACCAGCCATAAAACCCCAAAATTACTCTATTATTTTTCCTCAAGACAACTAATAGACCACCTACCATAAACAAGCCACAAAATACCTATGAATCATTCCAGCTTTCCCCCACCTTCCTGCATAATCCTTGCACATGAAGAACTTTTCTGGTTTCCCCTGTCTGATAGTAACTCATAAGACCCTCATTTCAGAAGGAGTCCCTATCTATACTCAGGAAGAAGGAAAGCAATAGGTAGGCTATAAAGAGTAAAGAGGAAGTACTTGTTGAGTTTTCCCTTTCCACCTAGTACAGTTAATTGTATCTGCTTCTCCAAGCACATTGTATCTGTTTCTCCAAGGACATTGCTTCATTGTTTATCAAACCTAACCATAAAAATAGAGGACATCCTCTTATCTTTAGACAATCATTTCTTGTGCCTCCTGTATCATGTTACTCTTGATGGAATGAATCAAATCTCAAGAAGAGACAATGGAGAAAGCCTTCCTTGTACCTACTATTGAAAGGCCTAGAAACAGCACAGGAGAGTGGCCAGAATAGCAGTGTACCAAGTGTTTCTGCACCAGTCCTGGCCATGCCCTCATGCAAATGAACAGCTGTGTTGGCACTTGGCATGGCACAGCCCCTAACAAGTCCTAGCAGTCCTTTACAGAAATGAAAGTTTGAATTTTTACCAGGCATGGAGGACTTCTGCTGGTCCACAATGGGAAGGAAGCATTCCCTTGTGATCTGGACAGCAGAGTGTTGTAGGAGTCACTGAGTCTTACGGTGACAGTCTCAAGCAAAATCTTTGCTAGAACAGTGCCTTCAAGAACCAGAGTTGTGCTCCAGCAGCAATCTGTGGCTGTTATGTCAGCGAACCATTCAAAGCATCCATTGCTGTCATGAGAGAAGTCCAGCCAGTTCACTCAGCACAGCCAGGGTCTTGAAGAGAGGTCTACCAGCTACCAAATAAGGAGTTAAATCTCTCCAGTCACCAACAGTTCAGCTCATTGAACGGAAAATTAAACACAATATGGGTGCTTACAAGTTTATTCATCTTCATGGGCTTGACATGAGGCATCAACAGAGAACGAAATATCTACACTTACCTAGATCTATACCCTGTACTAAACACAGCGATGCTTCTAAAAAAGAAACGTAGCAGGTCTTCAGGCATTGCTCAAGAGATAAAGTAGCAAAGTGTTTGCCTTGCAAACACAAGGCCTTTGTTCAAACCCTAGAACACCCCCCCCAAAAAAAAGAAAGAAAAAAGAAAATAATCTGCATAGATACATAATTTTAAAGGGACTTTTGCTTCTTGGAAGAGAAAGAATGCACACTTTTCTTTATTCTGCTTCAAACTACAGCTAAGAATCAAAGGACAAAAAGTTGAACTTAATGTAAAACAAATATAAGCAGACTCCCCTGAGTAGAGAGGAGTGAGCAGACTGACTAGTGAGCACAGATCCCAGGGAAAATACTATGTTAAATTCCATGACTGGTTAAATGGCCTCATCTATCCCAAACCCAAAGTTAAGAAATAGGAAAAAATATGTATATATATATATAATATAGAGAGAGACTATATATATATACATATACATATATATATAAATACACACACACAGCACACCAGTAAGCACTGGCTTAAAGAAGAAGCCTAAGAAAAATCTTCTGAGACAAAAGACAAGAAAAGGTATGTGGAAAATGAACTACGCAACTTGTGGGCAGGGACGGGAGGGGGAAAATGAGGGAAAGCGAAGGAAGGAGTGACAGTTTCCAAAAGAGGGATGTATGCACTATCTGAATTGTGAAGTGGTAACCCTTCTATACACCACCTTAATAAAATTATATTTTAAAAAGACAAGAAATAAGTGTTGATAGAAATTGTTTTATTAATGCATATTAATTGGGTACAAGGTTTTCATTATATTTGCATGCATTCATATAATGAATGTTGACTATTAAATTTATCTTATTTCTTTTTTATCCTCCGTCTTTATTAAATATTTTAATAGAGCTAATGATTCCATTTTCATATAATACATAGAAGTGCTTCTCTTTTTTATTGATCCTGTTTTACACTTCCTGTTTTTGCTTGTCCTAGGGCTTCAAGGGGCCTGAGAGCTGCCCCTGAGCTGCTTTTTCCTCAAGTCTCAGCACTCTACCACTTGAGCCAAGTACTTTGGCTTTTTCTGGGTAGTTTATTGGACATAGAGTCTCATGGACTTTCCCACCTGGGCTGGCTTTGAACTGTGATTCTTAGATCTCAGCCTCCTGAGTAGCTACAATTACAAGTGTGAGCCCCTGTCCCCCTATCTGTTTTACACTCTTGTCAGTCATTTTCTGGAGAAGGTATTTAGATTCCACATATGAGAGAAAACATGTATTAGTAGTTTAAAGCTGGCTTATTTTTCATAATATGAGTGAGCATCCCCAGCTCAATTCCCTGCAAATACTCTAATTTCATCTTCTTTATGGGTAAAGTATGCTCCATGGTGTGTGTGTGTGTGTGTGTGTGTGTGTGTGTGTGTGTGTGTGTGTGTGTGTGTGTGTCTATGTGTATTACATTTTCTATATCCATTAATTGGTGGACATCATTAGTTGGAGGAAATGTCTTTTGAGAACTATCTATTCAACTTATCTGCCCCTTCATCAACTGTACTATTTGTTCATTTGGTATTTGATTTTTGGACAACAAAAATAAATAACATCACTACAGTCATAAAAGGACAGATCACCCAGGTGCCAGTGACTCACACCTGTAATCCTAGCTACTCAGGAGGCTGAAATCTGAGGATCTCGGTTCAAAGCCAGCCCAGGCAAGGAGGTCTGTGAGACTCTTATTTCCAATAAACCACTTAGAAAACCAGAGGTGGCACTGTGGCTAAAGTGGTAGAGCGCTAGCCTTGAGTTGAAGAGTTGAGGGACAGCACGCAGGTCCAGAGTTCAAGCCCCACCATGGACAAAAAAAAAAAAAGGGACAGATCAAGAGGAAGAAAGAAAAAAACCTTGAAGACTAGAGTAGCCAACATCATCAACCTAAAAGATAACTATACCTGAGGGCCTCTGATCTCTCAATATTCTTTGAAAAAGTAGACTAAATGTGCAACATGAAAACATAAAATTGGCATTTGTTTACACAAGTAAACTACTGAATAAAATATCCTGAAATACTCTATATTAAAATATCCCTCTGAGAAAGATAAGAAA